GTGTGTGTGTGTGATGGTGTGTGTCCATGTCCTGTGTCCTGGTGCCGGTGTCACCGTGTCCACTGGTCTCCTGCAGCGTGGTGCCTACGGAACGAGGGGGTGAGCTCCGTCCTTTTAGGGGCGTCCAACACCGACCAGCTGATGGAGAACATCGGAGCGATACAGGTGAGGCTCCGACATGAGTGTTTCTAACTTAAGTCAGAAGTGTAATTTGTGGACCGAGACCCGACCCGCTTCGTCGGGCCGTGTTGGCGCCTCCCGGCCCGTAGCAGCAGCAGCAGCTCCTCTCCTGGGTGCAGCCGGGCCTCCTGGGCAGGTTGCTGCTGCACGCTTGGGCGCTCTACTGTAGCCAGTTAATAAGGTCAGAGAGGATCGGCCGCCAGGGGGACTGGAGACCAGCTTAGGGCCACTTCCTGCTCTCCTGATAAGATGCAGTCCTTAATGGGGTTTTCAGACCGCCGGGGTTTCACATCCTCACGTTATGTGCGGCCTGCAGACGCTTTGTGCGCTCCTGTGTGTGTGTGCACGCTATCCTTTAGCACACTTGATATTTCAGTTTGGAAATGCTATGCTCACATTTCCCCAGGGCCCTGCAGCTTTCCTGCTGCCACAACTTCATATTCCAGAGCCTGGAATAGACCCGGTCCCTCATGGACAGAGTCGGTCCGTTAGTCCACGTCGTTAGCGTTTATTTGATCTGGAGGAGAAACTGGTGCTTTCTATGATCTACATGGAGTAGTTCCTCTTTAATTACACACCAGTCAAATTAAACTCATGTCACTTTGCTGGATTTCCTATGAACATATAAAAACTCTGAGCTCACAGGTTAATCAGCCATCGGTCTGAATCCACACGTTTTCTTTGCATTTCTGTCTCATAATAATGATTTATTTATGACCAGTCGGTCCTCCTGATAAGTAGCATCCCCGTGGAGCCCAGAGCAAGATGAATCGGCTCAGATCCATCCCAGAGGCTGCAGGGTGACTCAGGTTTAGGTGTTTGTCAGTGACTGTCCAGACTGATGCCGTCCTCCTCTGGAGGTCTGTTAGACCCTAACGAGGAGCACTGACGAGTTTGGATCAAAATGCTGCTACAGTCCAGTTTCACCACTTTTTGTTTTAGTGCTTTTTGACAGTTCACTACATAACAAACAGCTTTAGAGTTTATAGACCTCCTCCTGCTCCTTTCCTGGTGAGCGTAGATGTGAGATTCAGACGTTCTTCCTTTCTTCAGGATTTTTGGTGTCGACTGCACACGTCCTCGACCTCCCGGCTGCGTTACTTTGAGCCTGTTTTTGTTTCTGAGCTCTTCATATTTGTTTAGGATCATAGTTTGTTCTTGTTGTGACAAATGTGCGGCTCTGGACCCGTCCATGTTGGAGACCGAGCAGACTGCAGCAGCCACAAGTCTGGCCAGAAAACCCAGACAGCCTCCAGGAGACGCTTCTGATGCAGCTGGATTACATTCTGTACAAGAAAATGATCAACAGCGAGACGTGTCGAGTGTTTGTGAAGTGATTGTGATGCTTCTGCAGGGATGAAGCTGTGATCTAGAACACCTGCAGCCTGATGACACGTTTCACAGCCTCTGTGATTCACAACATTGTTGTTATTAATATTTTAAGTCCTACTTGTACTCAAGGCTACTTTTAAGAAAGGTACAGAAAGAAAGTCAAGCTGTTAAATTATTAATGTACGATTTTAGATTCACCTTCTACACCTGAAACACTGAGCGGACCTGAATGTGGAGATTAGACTCACCTGTCTGTCTGTCTGTCTGTCTGTCTGTCTGTCTGTCTGTGGCAGGTCCTTCCAAAGCTGTCGTCGTCCATCACACACGAGGTGGACAGCATCCTGGGGAACAAGCCGTACAGTAAAAAGGACTACCGCTCCTAACGGGCGTCGGCCCGCCCGGCAGGGCTGCAGCCGCAGTGCCCCACCTTTGCCTGATCCTCTGTTTGCTTGAGCTTTTACTGAGTGAGACCCTGGCGCATGAGTCTGGCCACACCAAGGCCACGCAGGGCACCTCATTTAGAGTTACAGGGATAAGATAAGAAAAGGGGGAAAAAATACAGTCACCTCCACAGGAAGGGACGGGATGACAAAGTCGGACGACGTGGAGAGAGGCTAGGGATACGCGCTCATACTTAAATCAGTTAAACATTCAATCCAGCTGAACGTATTTTAAACCATAGAGAAAAAAAAAAACCTTTTTAAAAGAAAAAAAATAAGCACACGCTTGCTTGGCAGCCAGATTTCTCTCTCTCTCTCTCTCTCTCTCTTTTTTTTCTCCTCTTTTACTAAAACCGAATGCAACTAAAGGAAGACGAAGCTCCTGCTGTCTGATATATGAGAGCTGCTGTTGCACATGTACCATAGCCATGCATTAGTTCCCTGGATGTTCTGTTTACAACCACCCGTGTTCTGTACGTCTCTGAAAGAAAAGTGTGTTGTCGACATGACCAGAGCCTGTCCAGGCCTTTAACAATCAGCACTTTAGTCGTGTCAGTGAAGCTGCTGGAGGAGGGAGAGGATGATAGAACAAGTCTTATCTCACAGCCATTGCACTATAGAGCCTCCTCCTGACCACTCCTCCCTCCTCCTCCTCCCTCCTCCTCCCTCCTCCCTGTATCTTCACCGGCAGTGCGTTTGTCCGGCCTGATGCTCCGACGCTCCTGCTGGACAAACGTGGCGCTAAAAGTCCTGAGTTGAGCAGGACTGAGAGGATGAGAGCAGCTCCTCCGTCCTGACCAGGGAACCATCCGCCCTGATGGAGCTGAGGAGCTCAGGCTGATGTGTCCGGACAACTTGTCTGCCGCTGAGGAGCTGAGCTGTTGATCCATCCCAGCAGTAGGAGCTGCAGTCGTGTTAAATCAGCTCCATTGTGCTACCAGGCTGAGGATCTGGCTGTGTAGGAAGTGGTGGCTCCACATCTCCTGGAAAACCTCCTCCATCACATTCTGTTCAAGCATTTTGCCTTATTTACAGTTGCATCAAACTGTGCTTTGGGCTTCGGTGCAGACGAGCAGCTCGACCTCTCTGGTCACATGTGGCCGCTGTGGCGCCGACTGCTGGGCGTGGGAGGAAGGAGTTGTGTCCAGTTCCTCAGCGAGTGGCAGCAGCTCAGGGAACGGGTGGTTTCAGTCGTGTGTCGGCGTGCACGTGGTCAGGAGGTGTCATCTAGCCGTCTGTCTTTCTCTGGTGTGTGGACACTGGGCAGGACCAGTGACATGTTAGCGTGGCTTCAGCCAAAGATCTCCGTCCTCATCTCTTTAGACGTCATACCCCAGTGTTTCACTCACTTCCTGCAAGATTATAGAATCATGTCGAAGCATGTGCTGTCCAGCTTGTTATCTATCTATGGGATGGACTCTACTCCATATATATCTTTACTTGATCAAGCTGTTATACTAGTTCACAGGTACGTCCTTCATATACAGAATGCGTAGTACAGCTAAGTGCTTTAGGATCGGTAAGGTGTGCTTCAGGTGGCAGATACCTGGTCACACGTCAGAAGTATTATTGCAGACATTTCGATGCCGCCCCGTATCATCCTTTGTCCTTCGGGTGCTCTCTTACTGTGATTTAAGCACAAGTGGATAGCATGTGAACATCCTCTAGCATGGACCTCCTCACCCAGCCCACAGTACCGCCGGGTCAGCCAGGTGATGCTTCTCCGCTTACTAACACGTGTAGATAACAAATCTTTACTAACAGCTGATAAACTGTTGATTCTTAGCAGAAAAAAAACAAGTGCAGATTAAGAAGCTGTCGTATTCGTGCAGATGAAGATGTGAATGAGACGTGAGAGCAGCCGGAGTGCAGGGAGCTCAGAGCCAGCATCACTGTGGGTTTGTGTGGATGAAGCTCGCTTCAGTTCTACTCCCAGGTGATTTCTAACAGCAGCAAGGTGAGCCAGCTCCTCTGCTGCTGGTCAGGTGTGTGTGTGTGAGTGTGTGTGAGTCGGGGGACAACTAACCAATCCCACGCTTTAGCCAGTCCTATCAGCTGATCCCTGTACACGTCTGACTTACTGTGTCTCGTATGTCTGAGTAAATAGAACCGGCACGAGCCCATGCCGTCCTCAGAAGAAGAAAAAAAAGATAAAGAGCATTTAGTTCATTCGTCTGTGAGTTCCTGTGTCTTAATATTTCCACCTGCAGGGAGCAGAAGTCTGAGACGTGAAGGAAAACGCTGACGTTTTCTGTTTATTTGCTTTCTTGCTGAAAATGTAAAGAAGTTTGATGTCACGCTGAAGACGACCTTAGCTTAGCACAAAGGAGCAGCTGGAGGTTAGCATCATCTACAAAAACCAACACGTAAACTCAGCACGTCTCCCAGAAGACGAGTCGCAGCCAAGAAATCGTCACCTGTCGAGTGCAGGTCTGATTTCTGTTCCCTCTGACAGAATCTAAACGGGTCGGTGTCTTCAGTGCTCAACCTGACTCCAGAGATACTGAACGTGTTCTGACCACAGCCCAACCCGTCCATGTAGTGACACCAGGAGGTCCTGCTGCTCGTGTTCCTTCTCCTGGCTGCTTGTGCTGCAGCGGCGAGCGCACGGTTTGGACTTTATTAGATTGGGCCTCAACCTTTGACTGTCGTCCCGTGAATCAGTCATCTCAACACATCACGCTAGTTCCTGCTTGAACAGGACACCATGACGTGGATGTGATCTTCCACTGTGTGGCCTGGTGTGGTCCCTCTTTAAACGAGGACCTCTGATGCTCTGGACCAGCTGATGAGTGAACGTCGCTCTTGTTTGCTTCACAGCTTGTCGCCGGTTCATGACCCTCAGAAAACGACAAACTAGTTGCTTTAGTATGAATGAAACTAAAGCATTAATCAGTGAGCCTTAGCTTCAGCTGTTCCTTCACACAGAGCCAGGCTAGCTGCTAGCCAGTCTCCAGGCTTGATGCTAAGCTAACCAACTGACTCCTTCACGTGAGCGTGGCATCGACCTTTTCTGATTCCCGGCAAGAACTCGAATAACTCCTAACTTGTGGAGCTTTTCCTTCGGACTGCGTCGCCGTGCGGTGTGTTTGGCCGTCAGGTTCTTTCTCACGGTGCCGACCTGCTCGACCCGGTCCAGGTTCAGCACGCTGTAGAACTGACTTGATGTTTTGATGTGTGGCGCCGTCACCGTGTAGAGAAACTAATGCTTTAAGAGGTCCTGGTTTCTACCATGTAATGACTAGTTCAGACATGAAACAGGCCCACAGATGGATGAGAGCTTATTTTACTGAAGGTTTAGGTTATACAGAGAATATATTTTTTATGTTTTAGCCTTTAATGCAGTAGAGAGAATTAAAAGAAGTGTTTTTATTTTTTTCATCATGCTGCATTTTTCCTATCAGTATTGTATTGATCTGATGACTGACAAGCAGAAGCATTTCTTTGTGTTGTGATGCGTTATGAGGACGTAGTGAGAGCCTGGTGTCTCCTGTACATACTCTGACCTTTGTATATAGTTCTGGTTGTGATCACCTCTGCCTTTTCTCTTTTCGTTTGACTTTTTTTTGTTCCTTTTTGCAGGCGTTGCTATCTGCACTGTGCTTGAATCTGAACTTTAGACAGGATGTACAGCTTCGATCTTCAATGAAAATCAAATAATGATAAAAAATAAGAATGGTAAACCAGTCCTGTGTCCGTCTGTCTTTATTGGCTTTGTTCATCCTCATTCTGGGTTTTTATTCAGGAATGTGTCGGAGCTGCAAAGTCGCTTTAATCCAGTGAAAAACATCTTCGATCGTATACAACCGTGTGAAATATAAATATAAAGCAATTTATACACAAAATCCGTTCATATGAAAACATTTAGACGCCTGAACCCGGAGAAGGTGCAAATGAATGCTGTGTGGTCTGAAGGCATTAATGTTGAGCTGTTTGTGTTTAGTCGACAGAAACGAGCTTTACTGCAGCGTCAGCATCATGTGTCGGCCAGTGAAGCACCACAGAGTCACACTGAAAACAACTTCATAGTAATGACTTCTAGGTTCATGGTCAGAGAAGGCCTCATATTCAGTAACATCACCAGTTCCTTTACATTATTTATATACAGTACCTGCAGACAGCAGCAGCATTACACACAGTGGTGGAAGTGCAGCGAGCGCTGCTCCACCGTCCCGACGCTGCGCTCTGATGAAACTCTTATCTGGAGGATTGAAGGTGTTTCATGTTCCACGTAGTGAATCCCAGTCTGGCGTGATGGAGGCTGACGACACCGACTCCAGCAGCTCAAAGGACGCTTTGGCATCAGGGGAATAAAGTCTCATCCAGCTCAGCTCCAAACTGCAGTTCTCATCAGAGAGTCCATGTCCATGAATCTTCCGGCTGCTTCCTGTCGTGAGCTGGAGTCACTTCAGTGTGAAGTCCTGGTCCTGGTCCCGGTCCGTCAGCGCCATGGATCCGCTATAACGAGTTGTTGTGCTGCGAGTTTCCTCTGCTGCTCCCAGAGGTGAGGCGCGGGGGTCCACCTGAGGAGACGCATATTCAGTCAGAACAAAAACACAGTGAAGCAAAGTGCAGCCTCTGCAGTCAGCTGCTCACAGACGGCAGCCGTCAGCACTTCCACCAGGTATTTACTCCCATTTCACCGAGTCAGCAACGTGTCCCTTCTGCTCCGAGTCAAGACTCAGCAAAGGCTGTCACCTGCCGTCGGTGTGGACGTGATCACGCAGGAGGAGCAGAGTGTGTGTGTGTGTGTGTGTGTGTGTGTGTGTGTGTGCTGGTCATTACTGCACCTTCCTGACAGGACAGTCCGGTCCAGCTGTGCAGGCAGCTGCAGCGGCCGTTGCGGCGGTCGCACTGCGCTCCGTTCTCACAGCTGCAGGTCAGCGAGCAGTCTGGGCCGTACCGGGTCGCTCTGCAGTCTGACACAAACACAAAGATGTTCAGTTCAACTACCCAGAGGAGAGGATCAACTCTCATCCTGATCTGTTCACCAGACATCCTCCTTCAGCTCAGGGGGCTTCTGGGTCGTCGTGCACTCTGCTGGACCTCAGTGCTGGAAAGTATCCGAGTACATGTCCCTGCTTACTGCACATGAGGACAAACGGCTACCAACACTTCTGCTTCAACACAGAGGGAAATGCAGTTCTGTTTACTCTGACACATCCATCTGTCAGCTACTGATTCTATTACAGATTCAAATTCACTTATGAACCACATCCTGAAACCAGATCAGAAAAAAGGTCCTCAGCAGGACAGAAAGAGTCACAGTGAAGCATAAAGTGTAGTCATGCAGTCACCTGTACAAGTGGAGGGAAGCTGATGCTCTACAGAGACAACAACTATTATATATAAATAAATATAATTATAAAAGATCATTTAGTCTCATTGTCAACCTCCTCTGCTGCTAACAGACTCTTTGATATCAGTGATAGAAACCTGGTTCTGTATTATTCCAATAACACACTTTAATTTGTCATCTTTTGTCACAGTTTTGCTGCTTTTATCTAAACAATACGTCCAGAACAGTATTCAGTCATCGTAGACGCAGAGCTACGAAGAGACAAACTGCTTCAATATTCAGATAGAAAACATGAAACATCACATCCATCATCTCTACACCTTAATCCTCACTAGGGTCATGGGGGGCGGAGCCTATCCCAGCTGACTCAGGGTGAAGGCAGGTTCACCTGGACAGGTAACCAGTCTATCACAGGGCTACACTTAGAGACAGACAACCAAGCACACTCACATTCACACCTACGGACAATTTACAATCACCAATTAACCTCAGCATGTTTCTGGACTGTGGGAGGAAGCCGGAGAACCCGGAGAGAACCCACGCTGCACGGGGAGAACATGGAGACTCCACGCAGGAAGATCCCGGGTGTCCTCACCGGGACGCCAACCGGAGACCTTCTAGCTGTGAGGCCACGATGCTAACCACTGAACCACCTGCAGCTCTGTTTTGAAACAGGTTTCTTGTATCTGAACGTATCGAAGAGCAAAAACACTCGAGTCTCCTTCATTCCTTCCAGTTTACTGGATTAGAGTTAACAGGATCATTTCAAAATGCTTTAACCAAATCCTCAAAACGTTCCTGTTGTTGAACAAACACAACCCAGAAGAAGAACCTCTGCAGCATGTAAACCTCCTCCCTCATCCTCTGGTCTCTGCACTGGACATCCTGAACCAGAAGCTTCACTGTGAAGCTGGTGTGTCTCTGTGTGTGATCCTGGTCTCAGAGTTAGACAAGCAGGATTACCGATGTCACATCTGGGTCCGGTCTTCCCTGAGGAGCAGAGGCATCGTCCGGTCACAGGATCACAGGCAGCGTCGTCCTCACAGTCACACAGCTTCAGACAGGCCGGCCCGTAGCGGCCCTGTTCACACGCTGAGGAAGATGAAGGGCATGAAAATCTGTTTGAAAGAGAATAAACTGGACAGAGACGGTGCCAGTAATCCCAGTGTTCCTCAGAGCGAGCAGACTGACCTCTGTGGCAGCGGGCGCCCTGGTATCCTGGAGGACAGACGCAGCGTCCCGACGCCGGCTCACACGAGGCGCCGTTCATGCAGTCGCACTGCTGCTGGCAGAGCGGGCCGTGGAGGCCGGGCGGGCAGGCTGGCGGGTCACAGAGGGTTCAGGTGAACGTCAAGGTTTAAAATGTTCTCTTAAGTCATGATAAATGGAACATCGAGACAGAACCCAGAGTCTAACCGTCACCTCTACCGGAGCTGAAGCAGAAACTAGATATTGATCCTCAACGCGTTTCCTTTTAACACAAACTGAAATGTGACATCGAGTGTCGGGCCAGAATCCTGCTGCCCAGAGTTACATCAGTTCACTGTGGCAGAACATCTGTCTGACTGACGTTGAACAACTTTAACCTTTATGTCAGAGTTCAAGTTATTCTCAAAGTATTCAAGCAAACATACGTATAGCTATTAAACGTTACAGTCCATCGTGTCCTGCTGTGCACGGGTCAGAACATCCAGCCTTCATGTGTGTCACAATAAAACGAGTTCTTTAAAGGACGACTGTGATGTTGGTGCTGCTGAAAACAATCTGGTGAAAATGTCAGAAATAAAGAAAGTTTCCATCCCAACCAGTCCCCCTGTGTTTCCTAAGCTGCTGTAAACAGGAACAACCAGAGACGGGTCGGCGCTGTTTCACTCTCACCGTGTTCACACTGATGGCCGTAGTAGCCCGGACCGCACCGACACGCCCCCGTCACTCCGTCACAGGTGCCGTTGTTCTGACAGGTACAGCTCAGCTGGCAGTCGGCACCGAACCGGCCCGCAGGACATTCTGGGACGAGATGGGTGAGAGGAAGACAAGAAACCACGTTAACCTCATGAGGCCTGAACTCAACCTGCTGCAGCAGCACTGATGAGCAAAGATGCAAAAACTAATCATGATCATAAAGAGCCGTCACCTCGGTCGCAGCGTGGCCCAGTCCAGCCCAGCCCACAGGTACAGCGGCCGGTCGCAGAGTCACACCGTCCTCCATTACTGCAGTTACAGCGACGGGCACAGTCGGACCCAAACCAGCCTGGAGGACAGCCTGAGGCCCGACACAGCAGACAGGTGGACGTGAGCAGGAACACAGCAAAGAGTTCTGTTCAGTTCTGTTCTTTAAATAAATAACTTCAGCTGTGCCATAAAAACTGTCTGCAAACATCAGGGACAGTTGTTCTCCCTGTAGAACAGAACCAAGCAGCTCGGTTCCTGTACGGTATGAAAGCAGCTTCTACGGGTCATGATTCACGCTGAGCTGCTGATCCAGATGTGCAAACAGTTGTTTATTTAAAATGCTTTAAGTCACTGGATCCTCCAGAAACGCTCTCATCCCGCCTGTGCTGCTGTGGATGTACAGAACCAGGACAATAACCTGGACTGGATGATCCATCACAGAAAGCACAGTGACACTAATGGAGACCTGCAGCTACACTGTGAGAGGATCAGTGGTTGATCTGAGGTTCTTCTAAACTCAGAGGTCACAGATGAAACTGTGAGAACGAAGGAGACTCACCGTGTCCACAGTCCTCCCCCCTCCGTCCAGGCAGGCACACACACCGGCCGGTGACCGGGTCGCTCTGGGCTCCGTCTCCACACAGCGCCACCCGGCTGCAGTCGAGGCCGTACCGCCCGGCCGGACACGCTGCACACACACACACACACACACACACACACACACACTCCTGTTATCCACACTGTCACACCACCAGCTGCTGTGTTTGCTGTCATTATGAACTCACTGATGTTGCAGCGCGGGCCGATGAATCCTGCCGGACACTCGCAGGCTCCGGTGGAAGCAGCACACCGTCCTGCGTTCTCACACTGACACTCTCCCTCACAGTTCGGACCGTACCGACCCAGTCCACAGACTGAAACAGGAAACAGTCACAGGCTGTCAGATGCTTTACCTCCTGGTGCATCACTCATGTGTGAAGGTTCTGTTTGTGCGTACTTTGGTCACACTTGGGGCCGTGGAAACCCGGAGCGCAGTAGCAGGACCCAGACACCGGGTGGCAGAGCTGGTTCGTCTCTGAGCACTGACAGACCTGGTTACAGTTCAGTCCGAACGTTCCTGGAAGACAAGCTGCAGAGGGAACAGCGTGTGGGACGGTTGCATCGTCTTCCTGCATCGATGAGCTTTAACATGAAGGAAGCTGCTTTGTGTTCACAATCTGAATAAAGCATCTGGCAGACCCAGGTCCGTCCTGAAAGAACTCACTCTGTTCACAGCCGTTGCCAGTGAAGCCGGGAGGACAGCCGCACTCTCCAGAGACGTGGTGGCAGGACGTGCCCGGCGCACAGCTGCAGCGCTGCATGCAGCTCTGCCCAAACGAACCCGGCAGACAGGCTGAGGAGGCACAAGAACCAGCATCACATATGTTCTTCTGCTCTTTATGCCTCAAGGGTCAGAAATCTAAAGCCCCTCAAAGAAAATGACTTTTTAAATCCCGGCTTTAGTCTCACAGTAACTGCACATGTCTGATAATTAGATTTTTTCTTCATTGCTTTTGCTCCATCTTTTTACAGCCTCATGCAGCGTGCACGAGGACTCTGACGAGCACAGCTTCACTAAGCTAACGACCATCAGACCATCAACTCAGACCAGGAAGACTCCAGAAAGAAAGCCTGTCATGGAAACAACAAGCTGGAGCTACATGGAGTTACAGACACACAACAGATCCAGGAGCAGCAACACACAGACAGCTGAGAGGAAACCAACAACAACACCGAGCGTATCACCTCTAACATCACTGTTCAGGTTTCCTTTAGTTCTACCGGATCATGTTGTGGAGGTGCATCAGCTATTAATCATAAACTGGTCACATAATCAGCTCAGTGTTTTCAGTCATTCTTTAATTAACATAAACTCAACAATCCCTGATTCCAGTTTCTTTAATCTGAATATTTTCTGCTCGTCTGAAGCAAACTGAACACCTCCAGCCTGCAGACAGAACCAGATCCGATCCGGCAGCTTTGGACAACGTGCTTCTACTTTGTTCAGCATTTTAACTTTAACAGGTTGCAGTCCTGGAATGCAAAGGTTCAGAAACACAACAGGTCCGTCAATGAGACCAGGACCACTCCGTCCACCAGGGGCCGCCAGAGCACACAGGTCCGTTTGTAGCAGCAGTACCTTTGTCACAGAGCTTCCCTCTCCATCCGGCTGGGCAGCGGCACTCTCCGGTGACGTGGTGACACGAGGCCCCGTGAGCACACTGACACCGCTGCTCACAGCCGGCACCGAACAGGCCCGCTTCACACGCTGGGCAGCAGAGGAGCGAGTTAGAGGTTTGATTAATAACAAGACACAAACATGTTCCTCAGCTCCCACGTGGTTCATCACGACGCAGCAGCTCACCTTCCTCACAGAACTCTCCCGTCCAGCCGGCGCTGCAGCTGCACCGTCCGGTCCGTCGGTCACACTGGCCGCCGTTCTCACACTCACACCGGCGCTGGCAGTCGGTCCCGAACCGGCCCGACACACACTCTGGACACACAGCAACATGAGGGGAAACAGACGTGGTGATGTGGACCGCACACGACAGGGAAACTCGCTCTGTCACATTTCTGCTGAGCAGTGCATTATGGGTTGTTTTCCCTCAACCATCTCTAATTGGACTGAGTGTGGGGTTGGCAGTCAGAGGCAGCGGCCGCGGAGACATTCCTGCGACAGGATTAGAGGTTTGCTGAGAGGGGGCCGGCCTGGCACAGCGTGACGGGGGAAGGCTGTAACAGGCACAGAGGGAGGACAGTGTGTGATGGAGCTCTGGGGGACGAGGAGCTGGAATGTCCTCGTCCGTTCACTCAGACTTTTTCAGACTCAGCCGTAGGAACACACTCGCTGCAGCAAACATCCAGACTCCAGGCACTGACCAAGGAGCTGATGTGCTTCTGAGCTGTTAAACAACCGCAGGCCGCTGGTTCGGAGGCCGACTGCAGGGTCCAGGTGATGAACCAGCATCATTATGGCTTCACTCACTCAGACGTCTGAGGAGGAACCGGCTGGTCAGAGCTGAAGTCAGCGTTACTGGACGAGAGCCGCAGAAAAATCTAAACATTTTCACATTTCACAAGTATATCCCATTAAACTAGCGCTCTGCTGGCTGATTGGTTGATGTTGTTGTTCGATCAGTTCAGTAAATTTAATGTTTGTACTTCTGCACATCGGTACGTACAGTGGTACGCTGACCATTCAGGCCCCAGACGGGTCCCTGTGTCTGAGAGGAAGACAGAAAAACACCAGCGTCTGTCCTTCATCCCAGTTTTCAGGCTGATCTCTGCTTGACCTGCTGCTACTTGCAGTTTTCCTGTGACGTTCGTATTATTTGCAGCAGTTTGGGTTCGTTCATTTTGTAGTTTTCCCTTTAAATGAAACGGTCAGACTGGCTGAACTTCACTGGGTTTTACAGCCATGTCAGGCTTTTGCCAGATTCCAGCAATTAGTGTGCCGAGCTGAATTCTGACTGAGGGCCAAACTCAGGTCGGCCGCGGTAATAAATCAGAGTGGATTTATCTTACGGTGGTTTTGTGGTAACATACGGAGACTCTTACTCACGCCATCTTTGAGTCTTACCCCGTTCACAGGCGGCGCCCGTCCATCCACTGGCACACGAACACTTTCCGTTGGTCCGGTTACAGGTGGCTCCGTTCTGGCACAAGCAGCGCTGCCGACAGTCTGCCCCGTAAAACCCCGCCGGGCATTCTGGGAGGAAATAGAAACACATCCTGTGACCTGTTCTTTACCTGTCCTATAGGTAAAGAACAGCTTCTCCTTGTTGTGTAAACTCACCCTCTGTGCAGTTGGGCCCGGTCCAGCCCGGCGTGCACACACACTGACCGCTGGCCGGGTGGCAGATGCCATCGTTACGGCAGCTACAGGTCTGGTTACATCCCTCCCCATAGAACCCTGCCGGGCACGCTGCCAGGAGGGAGACAAACAATATCATTACCTCCTGATGAACTTTGCTGATCAAAAGTGGAAATTCCAGCGTCTGGTAAGTAATACAGGCCTCGGCATGGGGAACGTCCAGCCGGTACTTTCTCATGTGTGACTGGGCCGGGCTTTCCCAATTAACTTTGAAACCAAGTGCCTTTTTGTTCTACTGTGAGTCAGCTCTCTGGAAGATGTTCTCGCTGCCACAGAAATGTCCCACACAGAGAATCTACTGTCAGGTCAGCCATGTTCTACGGTGCCACTCACTCAGGTTGCAGAACGGGCCGATCCAACCGGCCGGGCACGAACACACGCCGCTGACGTGACCACAGCTCCCACCGTTGAGACACAGACACTTCTCCTGGCAGTCCAGACCGTAGAAACCCTGAGGACACGCTGACACACACATGGAAGGATGAACCGGATGTACATGTTCAGAAGGTGGATCCACGATCAAGGAGGTTCTCTTACGCTTTTCGCAGAAGGTTCCCGTCCATCCCACCTGGCAGGTACAGGCTCCGCTCACATGGTCGCACAGCGCCTTGTTGTCACACTGACACCGATGGCGACAGCCCAGACCGAACATCCCCGCCGGGCACTCTGAGGGAGAATCACACACAGCAGCACAGGTCAGAGCACAAGGCTTCGTATCGGCAGAATAAACAGTAAAACGTGACGTCACTTCACTGGAACCTGAGCAGAATAGGAAAGGATTTATGTGCAGTGTTAGAAGACTTTGGTGGGACACTTGTGGTGGTAGCACCAGTTCTATGGCAGAAGTCCACCCGTCTGCTTGCAACCTGTTCAGATTCCAGCCTGACCGCTGGGAGTTTACCGTCCGTCTGGTCTTTCTCAAGCAGATTCCCAATCTTCTCTTCTAATCTCTCAACTTTCTGAGGGCTGTCCTGTACATTTCTGCTCCTGACGGGCCTGAAAGTCGACCCATGTTTCACCAGGGAACTGTTTAAACCCTGTCAGGTTTTAGACTGTAGACAGTGAAAGTCTACATACAGACAGAACAGACCACTGTGAATCTAAAGGGTTACCACACATCCTCCAACTCATCCTCCACAGTCTGACCTTCATCTTCAACACTTTTTGTTCAGTCACAGTTTTATGGACTGATGCATCTGTTACTACACTTTGAAAATAGCCAACATCACATAAAATAGAGCACATAGTAATTTGCTGCTGACAGAATGAACCCAGCGGTGGTGATGAACGTACTCTGATGGCAGTGAGCTCCAGTGAAGCCAGCTTCACAGTTGCACTGGCCCGTCACCGCGTCGCAGCTGCCGTCTCCGTTTCTGCAGTCGCAGGTTTGAGCGCAGTCAGCTCCCCAGTGTCCTGCATCACACGCTGCAGCGCCAAGAGTTAGAGGAATCTTTATTAGTCCAACAAACAGCTCCGTTGTTCACATGCATCCTGTCAGCCTCGGTGCTGCAGGCTACTGCTGTGTGCTTCAGGGCTGTTACCTTTCCTGCAGTTGTGTCCAGTCCAGCCCGGAGCGCAGGTACAGCGGCCGCTCACAGCGTCGCAGCGGGCGTTGTTTTCACAAACACATCTCATTTGGCATCCTTGACCGAAACGTCCAGCCGGGCACGCTGCACGAGGACATAAACATTTAAACCATGGAGACTAATGGACCAGAACCAGCTCTACCCAGTTCCCATGACAGCTTCTGCACTGCGGTCCGACCAGCGAGTGAAGCTGGAGGAGCAGCGCCGGGTCAGAACGGACTTCTGTTTGTTCCTCTCAGTGAAAAACGAGCTGGTTGAAGGATTTCTAGCTAACGACCTTGGAAAAGAAAAGAAGGAAAACTATTCCTCTGCCTTCCAGCGGGTTGCTTCCTTTCCCATCTGCCCCAGAGTGCTGCCGTCCTCCTCATCTGCCCCACTGTTTAAGGCCCGTTGCTATGGAAACTCCCCCAAAATGCCCTCCGGTGGTACTCACAGTTCTGGCAGAGTCTGCCCATGAATCCGGGAGGACAGTTACACGAGCCGTTGTGTTTGTCACACACACCGCCGTTCTCACAGGCCGGACATGGTTCTGTGCAGCCTGGACCCCAGAACCCTTCTGGACACACTGGGACAGATTATTGGAAACGTTTGTAGGATTATTATCATGTACAGTTCATCTTATTTGGCTGTGAGGTCTGTGCTCAGGACTCACAGTTCTCACAGTGCTTCCCTGACGTCCCCGCTGGACACCGGCATCGTCCCGTCACTGGGTCACATGGGGCACCGGTGCAGTTACAGGGATGGACGCAGCCCGGTCCAAACCTTCCCTCCGGACAGTCTGAGACACGACACAGGAAGGATTGGTCTTAACACAGGACGACAACAGATAACCCCGAATCAGCCTTAATGCGTGTGACAGCAGGACGTCCACCTTGATCGCAGGCGTCCCCGTGACGACCAGCAGGACATCTCCTTTGACAGTCTCCGGTCACATGATCACATGACACCCCAGGTGGACAGGAACACTTCTTCTCACAGCCGGCTCCATAAGAACCGGGTTTGCATTCTAGAGACAAATCAAATCAAATCCAGTTGATTGTCATGGTGCTGAACATCCACAGCAGTACAGGCAGGATGAGAGCGTTTCTGCAGGATCCAGTAACTTAAAGCAGTTTAAATAAACAAGTGTTTGCATCTCTGGATCAGCAGCTCAGCGTTCTGACAGCTGGAGGCATGAAGCTGGAGGTTCTGCCTCTAACGCTCCGGGAACGTTTGGCTGATGGCAGCAGTTCAGACGGTTCATGGGGAGGGTGTGAGGTTAACACAAGTCAACACAACTGTGAGTGTGGAACTCATCTCCCCATTCCTGCTTTATTAGGGTTTAACTGTCTGCTTGCTTCACCAGAGGACCGGTGATGAAGACGGAACTCGTCTGTCTGACTCACGCTGTAAATATGTCACTGATTAAATGAGAAAGTGAACTCTGCTGCGACTTCAGGGGCCAACATGCACCTCAGAGCTGTCTGCTGGATTCCTTTGGAAACCACATCTTTCCGATGTCAGCTGAGGAAGCCTTGGTGTGACCGTTCCCGTAACGTTCCCATGCTGATGATCCAGCAGTCGCGCTGTGATTGACCGGGTGTGGGAAGGTGAGAGACGAGCCAAGGATCCAATTTCTGCCTCTTTCCATTCTTGACAAGAATTTCAGTGATTTTTCATATAAACTTGGCGACACGTTAAATGCCACCCAGGAGACCTGGTCTGACAGCGTGCACCATTATCCCCATACTGAAACCATATCGAGTGTCCTCGCTCTGTGACGGCCAGCGGATCACTGTCCAGCTTCGTCAACACAACAGCTTTAGAGTTCCAACATGGCCGGACATCACCGTGTAGAAACCAGTTCTAGTTAAACAGCAACCCAACATCCAGAGCAGCCTTTGGATCCCCTCTGAGCAAGCGGGTGGCAACGGTGGGAAGGAGCCAAAAAGGAAGGAAAAGAACCTCCAGCAGAACCCGGCTCAGGGAAGGAGGCCATCTGCCTGGACCGGTTGGGTGGGAGCATACAGTCAATGATGCTGATCAAGCATAAGCCTTAGTGGGTACGGTGGTTGATTTGACTTGTTAAGTTACCTTTTGTTCAGCTTTCCCTCTGACATGTCCAATGAGCACATGTCGTCCCGCGTAGACAGTTATTTGCTTTTAACGTTTATCTTTTCTTCATCTGCAGTTTTTGGGGGACGGCGGCTTGTTTCTGCGTTGGGTTTTTATGGACGTTCTCCAAAAACTTAAAAATAAAAAAGCAGAACACAAGCTGTGCATTTTTACTCACCGTCCTGGCAGGCGTTGCCCTGGTAACCAGGTTTACAGACACAGGTGCCATGGCGACGGTGACACTCCAGCGTGTGCTGCTGGTCACAGCGACACTCCTCAGAGCAGCCGGGACCGAAGGTCCACTTAGGACAAGCTGAAGGTGAAAATGAAGGAAGTGACACATGTAGAAGTTAAAGCTTGGTTCTGGTGAGTCTGTCATGTGTGAGAAACAAGGAGCTGATAAAGTGTCAGCACTGGGACTCACGGAGGTGACAGAAGCGTCCGTAGAGTCCAGGATCACACAGACAGGCTCCGTAGGTCCGGTGGCAGCGCCCGTTGTTGGCACAGTTACACTTCTTGTTGCACTGCTTCCCGTAGAAGCCTTTGGGGCAGCCTGGGCACAAACAGCACCGTCATGAACTTCACATTACTATTGTAGTTGAAGTATTTTAGTAGTTTTACAGTTTTCAGTTAAAAATAAGACAAAAAAGCATCTTAGAAACAGAAGGAGGTGACTCACCATCCTGACACAAGTCTCCGCTGACCCCAGGAGGACAGCGGCAGCTCCCGCTGACCGGGTCACAGCTGGCACCGTTCTTACACTTACAGGGGAAGGAGCAGTTCTTACCAAAGTGTCCTTCGGGGCACGCTGTGAGGTTGAGAAACATAGAGGTGTATCAGTGCTAAGCTGTCAGACTGACCTCCAACCCGGACCGGGTCAGTGTGTGCTGGGTAAAGCCTCACTCTGGTTGCAGATGACGCCGGTCCAGCCGGCGGGACAGTCGCAGCCACTTTTCCACAGGTTGCACTTCCCTCCATTAGAGCAGTCGTCACATGTCAGACTGCAGTCGCTGCCGAAGGTGTCATCCAGACACACTGGAAACAGGAAACAGTGATGAGCCCAGTTCCCTCCTGGTTCTGACTGTTCACACTGAAGCACTAACTGTAGTTATTACAGTCATCGTGGCCGCTGACCCTCTGACTCTAAACGGCTCCTCCACGGTTCCATCATTACACATTTAACTATATTGGAGGTGCTGCTCGTTGTTGACTTTCAGTGAAGTCAAACTGAATGTTCAACAACTGCTTTTATCAAATGTGGCCGACACAAAACAGAACCTCTCACTTGCTGCTTGAGGCTCCGTCCGGCTGCCAGGCCGTATAAACCTCAGCATTCCTGCCAGAGGAATGGTGGCGGTTTATTAGAACCTACCAACAGTCTGGAAACACGAAGCCAAGTCATTAACCCCCACCGTGTGGTCTGTTCCAGCCGTCACCAAACACGTCTGTCAGACGGTTGGCGGGAGCCAGGTAATCAGATACAGTCTCCTGTTAATGATAATGAGACATTAATGGTTCAGGAGGAAACGCACCAAACTTCTCTGCCAGGTTGCTCTCAGCCCTCAGCTCCCCCTCGTCATCTTCGTAGTCGTCATAGCGCTCCAGGGGCTGGCTGTAGTCCTGCAGCAAGGTGAGCTGGGGCCGAATCAGAGGCAGCTCAAGGGAGGCGCCGCTGGAAAGGGCCTCGATGGCATCTTCCAGCGCTGCAGTGGAGGGAAAAGTAAAGTAAGGACATCATGCAGGACAGACACACATTATGTTACTGACTTTGGCATCTCAAAATATTTCCTTCAAAACAAGTACAAAATGCCACCATCTTTACAGAATAACACATTTTAACACCTAAATGGTCACATATACGGTGTGCAGCCGGACGTTAGCGACGCTGTGTGAGCGCTGCACTGAGGAACAAGCACCAGGGCCTCGGTACAGTTTTATAGTGAACGTATCCAGAATTGTTTTGTTTCATGTAAATGCACGAGCATGAACGTGCATGTGCTGGTGCACGAGGCTGCACATGCAGGTGACGCAAACACGCTCCTACAAACTGACTGGTTATGCACACACACACACGCACACACACACACACACACACACACACACACACATATATATATATACATAGATGTGATATATAGACGTGCACAGTTAGACAGGTGTCCAACTTACAGGCAAAGTCACGTCTGCAAATGTTTTATGACACAATAAATAATAATAACTTCATGTGTTTGGGATCTTTTGAAAGCAAAGTTATAAAACGCTTGACAATAAAACAAAAGTCATATTAGAGGAATAATGAAAACAATTTCATCAGATAAATAAGATCCTCACATGTGATTAACCGCCATAAAATAGTCAAGTTAAAACGAGACCCCGTCGTGTTACTAAAGGTGTGATTATATCACATGTTAGGCATCAAAATTAACTCTACAAAAATTATATAAAATATCACTAAAATACTACGAAATGCATTCAGCGTGTTTGTCAGAGCACAGCGATGCAACCTGTGCCGACAAGAGGTGGAGCACGTAAACGAGACGGTCAGCAGATGGACAGTTTGGTTCTGAAGCCTCAGCAGACTCCATGTTTGTTATGTTGGCAGAGAAGAAGGAAAGGAAGGCTACCGGCGCTGCTCGTCCCTCCAGACGGATCAGGAACAGGCTCAGGGACACGGCTAAGCTACTCATATGGTTTCCATGAAGAATGTGAGAGTAGATGAGGCCCTTCACTCCCCTGATAGAGTCCCAGAGCGTGATGTCCAGTGGTGCTATTCCCTGATTCATAGGAATCTTTTTATTTGATAGGCTGATAAAAGCTGAACCTCTCTCTGGCCTCTTGTCATTACCTTTTGTGTGGGTTTTGTTTTTCAGTGAGAGTGTGTTTGGCAGGTTTTCTGTCCTGTCAGTTCAGGAAACCACAACCTAAAAGAGAGGATGCTGACTACTGCATGCTCTGTGTCTATTTTCCATTTCAACTAAACTCTATTTGCTTGTCTTACAGTCTAATAAATCTGCTATTTATATAGAAGTAAGTATCGGGTTCCTGTTTTAAGAGCATCTCGATAACATCTCCCTCCCTCCAGTCCTGACATTTATTTCTTTCGTAACTCATCTCTAAACTCTTCCCTCCACGTGTAGCGCAGGATGCTTTTTGCTGGTCAGGTTTTCCGTTGGACTGGTTCTGCTGTGGCTGCCTCTCGCCCACAGGATTGCTGGTACTCACGGATGCAGGACTGTCGGTCCTCGTCCAGACGGAAACCCCGGCGGCAGAAACACTGGAAGGAACCGGCGCTGTTCTGGCATGTGTGATCACAGCCACCGTTGGCAGCCAGACACTCATCCACGTCTGAACAACACAGACACAAAACAGACTCAGAGACTTCAGGTCCACTCAGAGGAACCGACTAGACAAGCCGTTAGTTCACCAAAACAAAGACAGCACTGTGCAAACCCAACAGGACCGCTCCGAACCGCAGCAGAAATTAATATTAGTGTTCTGATTGGGGGGTTGAACACACCGTCACAGCTGCATCCGTCTGAGTTGAGTCTGTATCCCGCTGAGCAGTAGCACTCGTACCCCCCGGGGTAGTTGGTGCAGTCCTGCTCACAACAGGAGCTCTGCTCTCCACACTCGTCAACATCTGCCAAACACAACAAGCAGGAAGACAGAAGTTACGACCCGACTGCAGTGATATGCTGCCCTGCTCGCTGAGAGAACCGTTTTATGGGGAAATGCAAACGGTACCGGTTTAACAGCCAATTAGGGTTAAAGGTACACGATTAGATTAGAGCCCGAAGATTACTCAGCTCCTCCTAAAACAGTCTTGGGTTCACAAGAAAACATCTTTAAGCAGCTCAGGGCCCCATAGAGCCCTGCTTCTCCTCCCCTATCATCATAAGAAAGAGGTTTTATACAATAAGGCCTGTTTCATGCTCATCTATGAATCACACACGTGCACGCTGTGCAGCACTCAGTGTTTTATTAGATATGAGTCCAGCATCAAATACTGAATCCAGAGTGTTTTAAACCCTCCTTTAATACTCCCTCAGTCACTGGTTCCTTAGCTACAGAAGGCTGAAGCAGATCCAGTACAACACAACAGGCCTGCAGTAAATCATGAAGGTTTCATGTTCAAACTGTTTCAGAAAAAACAAAACCACGGCTTAAACAAAACCCGTGGATCCTGACGACAGTAAGGAGCGACTTTACTGAGGAGCTGCTGCGCTAGTTCTACTGAGCTGCTTCAGACATCTGAGTGTGAGCTGGTTGAACTCTGAGCTGTGAAAAGGCCGAACTTTAGAAATAACTCAGAACAAACCTCAAACATTCAACAGCAATGAGTTCACAAAAAAATAAAATAAAAAAGAGACAGACTGAGCAGCAGCACTGCCACCGTGTTGGATTTACTTTGTGTTCAAGGTCTGATAATCTCCTATAATAAAAAACATCATGAACACACATTACTACATAAAACACTGATAATACAACAAGAATCAGGCAATATACCTGCCGTATGAGCGATAGCTGTCATAACCGTACGGACTGATTTTATTCTATTTATCTTTTTTATTTTTTAATTCACACTATCCATTATGTGTGTGTGTGTGTGTGTGTGTGTGTGTGTGTGTGTGTGTGTGTGTGTATTACATTTCCCAGCTCTTACTATTTATAGTTTATTTGTGTATTTCTTTAGGCTCCTGTGACCCTAGTGAGGGATGGGCGGTGTATAGATGATGAGAGGATGTTTGTTTCTTCCTTCCTGCATCCATTCTGCTGCAACAACGTGAGTTTCCTCACTGTGGTGAAAACTAAAGTGCAATCTAATCTAATCTAATCTAATCTAATCTAATCTAATCTAATCTAATCTAATCTAATCTAATCTCATTCAACAGTCGGTGTTTATGTCACAATGATTGGATGAATGCTGCTTTAAGGCATCAGTGTGAGTCCATCAGTCTCTCACCAACGCAGGTTTTAAGGTCCTCATCCAGCCTGTAACCATGGTTACAGGAGCAAACAGGCCCGCTGGTCGAGTGCTGGCAGCGATGCGAACATCCGCCGTTGTTGTTCTCGCAGCTGTTCACGATCTCCATCTCGATTCCTTCAGTTCACAGTGAGACCACAGTGGTCACCATAAAGCATGTCATCGAGCTGATTATGAGGCTCCTACACGTGTAAAAGTAATGATTTGAACTGACTGTAGCACTGCTTTCCATCAGATCCCAGCTCGTAGGCGGCGTTGCAGACGCAGGCGTACGAGCCCAGAGTGTTGTGGCAGCCGTGAGCACAGCTGGCCTCCTCTGTCTCACACTCATCAACATCTGGAGGAGAATACATTCAGAAAGAGTGAAGACGTGCATCTGGTCAGCGCAGAGTCACATTTATCATACGTGTTCCTCACAGACCATCACACTACAACTACTACGTGTTAGTACTCAGTTTAAACACTGGCTTCCAGTTTAAGCATCTTGTTCTGATAAAATCACATCTTTATTATCATCACCGCTTACTGTGTTTACATCTGAAGTTCAGCCGTGACTGGATAATCTGACACTAAACATAAAACCTTCTTCTATGTCGGATATCAAGGCTGTCGGATTGTCCAGACGGAGGTCCAGATACGAGGAGGGCTTGATGCTGGAAGGCTCATTAGTTGTTCATTATTGTTCATAGTTGTTATAATAACTAGTGGTTCTGGTCCCAGTAGAACTTTCTGCTCTCTGGATGTTCAGGCCCAATTCATGATGAATATCAGAATATCTGTCCTGGTCGGGGGACACTTCCACCCCGGGGCAGCGCTCTGACGGGGTGGAAGTGTTAAGGGTCGATTATCGAGTCACGACTGTGTTTGTATTTTTGACCACATGTTCTCTCAGGTTCATTTTCCTCTTTCAGGCTTGACTTTGGACACAGCAGGTTACAGATGGTTTGACAACAGGATCCATCGATCTCTAGTTTAGAAGCTTCCAGCTGCATCACACAATGAAATACAACATGGTTAAAACTCCCTTTTTTCTTCTGCTCTCGCTGTTCATTCTTATGAACAAAAACTGTCAGATGAAGACACCACATGTAATCAGATTAGTTTCTGCTCGTGTATTTTCCTTCTCCACTCCTGATTTACTCCAAAAGCACTCTATAAATCCTGCTCCTGGTGGAAGTACCTTCACAGGTCTTGCTGTCCTCGGTCAGAATGAATCCGGCTCTACAGTCGCAGTGGGCCTTTCCGCCGTCCACCCGACACTCGTGCATACAGCCTCCGTTCTGCTCTGCACAGGGGTTCTGCACTGTAACACAGAAAGCTCATCAACATGAAGCCTCATGGTGTCAGTGAGGAGGAGGACAGGACTGTAAAGACTGTAGAGCTCTAGAGCCGCCCTGATCCTCCACCTCAGCGCTGCACCGTCCTCTCTGGACCTCTCTGACTTGTGTAAGCCTGTCTGGCATCTGGGACGAGAACCTTCAACGCTGCAGAAATTAAAGGAAGCTGCTCACAGCCAACAATTACAAAGTAAAAGCATCTGAAAGACAGTAATTTAAAATACATGTATGTATAATTTCCCACCTCCAGAAAACCTCACTTGACTGCACAACTTCAGAGGTCGCAGAGATTAAAAGCAGCACGGACATGACAACACAATGAAGCTGTGACTCATTCCAGCTGAATGACAGTTAATCATTCTGCAGCTCAGACATCCTGTAGGATAATTACAACTGGCAGCTGATGCAGGCAATGTGTTTTTAATGCTGTGATCACATTCTCAGACTCACACCTTCAAAACCTTCCAAGGAACTCGGTTTTCCTGGCATCCCTTCCTCCTGCGTTTATCATTCCTGCTGTTTATCTTGTGACATATGCTGGTTTGTATTCTGAAACAGGGACACTCACGTTTGCAGTGCTTGCCGTCCTGTGCCAGTGCGTAGTTCGGCTTGCAGCGGCAGCGGAAATGAGCAACAGACTGCTGCACACAGTAGTGTTCACATCCCCCGTTGCTGATGGCGCACGAATGGACGGCTAGAAGGGCAGAAGAGAGAAAACATGAGCGAAGGGCACAGACGCAGAGCAGCTAGCTGGAAAATCAGACGTCTTCGCAAAAACACATCAATCTAAAGTTTCACGTTTGGGACTTTGATGTGACCGATGTGAGGATACCTCAGAGAGCCGCTGTGCTCCGAGCCAGGAGACATCCATCATAATCAAAGGCCAAAAATCACAGAGCGACGTGAATGGCAGGCTGCCTGATGAGGCCGAGGGCAGCGTGAGCACAATTATCTGTCTGTCTTCCCCTCATTGTGGCTACAGATAAATCTGGATCTCTTCAGAGAAAATAACAGGTAGAGGATGAACAGCCTGGTGTTCTCAGAGACGGTGTTTTTCATACTTGGAGGCTGCAGTCAGGATCCATCCATCCCAAGAGCACGTCAAACCACAGAGCGCCTTCCAGCTCAAATATTATGCAGCTACACGCTAAGTGTGTGGGATCCATGTGACCTCTGCTGGCAGGCCGAGAGCTGCATGAGATGAGCAGAGTTCTACTGATTCTGTGCTGATTGGTCTGTGTTGTCCTTCATCCAGTCTGGATGTAGTCATGATGTTTGGCGCTTGGTTCTGAACTTATTCCCTCATATAGACAGCAGGATTTCAGCACTGAATACATTTCTGAAGACGGCTCGACTCAGCTTTACGTCGACTGTCAGCAGACGGATATGCAGCATCACAGATCCACCTGGGAGTCGGTCCACATGTGTGCTGTGATTATTAGTGCAATCAGTCATTTGTTCACGCAGCAGCCGTCACACCAGAACCTCTCAGGGACAGATGGGTCCGGCTAACCTATCTGCTCTATAGGACAGGGAACCCACGTTGCTGTATGACGCCAAGGAACACAATGATTTCCACTCCAGGTGTCAGACAGGACGCTGGCTGCAGGAAGCAGCACCAGGTTCATGCTCTGTTAGCTGCTTCTGAAAACCCAAAGCTGATGTTTTTCCTTGACAGGTCCTGAGTGACACTGCAGAGGCCAGATGAAGCTCCGGGACAGGATTTAATGGAGGACCAGGCTGGATTCATGTCACACAGAGATCACAGTGACCACAGTAACGCTGTCACTCAGTCTTATTACCCGTGTTGTGAATCTGTGTGTCTCCGTTATTCCTCCTGACTGAATGCTTCACTATGAGCTCAACAAAAGCATGTTTGTTGGAATGAGATAAAGTTCTCTGCAGACTCTACTTCCCTCCTGAGTCCCTGCAGTGGTCGTTCTGAGGCTTTCCATCGTAGCGCCCAGACGTCCTCAGCAGGCAGCTGGTTGGGGGATCGCAGACATTTAAATGAGCTCGTTAGTCAGAAGTGGGAGTAAAGAATGTGAAGATCCTATAAACTATCTGTTCTATTTGATAAAGTGAAGCCACAGAACCAGAACCACTGAGTACAGACGATGGAGTCTGTGTGTTTCTCAGCATTTCCTTTCTTTCCTTTTCCTCCGTCTGTTTCATGGATGTTCTGGTCAAAGCCCATTTAAAGACTCCTGAGCTGCCTTCTGATTAATCTATCTGTCGCATTCACAGAGAAACATCCATCCATCATCTCCACACCTTCATCCTCACTAGGGTCATGGGGGGCGGAGCCTATCCCAGCTGACTCAGGGTGAAGGCAGGTTCACCTGGACAGGTAACCAGTCTATCACAGGGCTACACTTAGAGACAGACAACCAAGCACACTCACATTCACACCTACGGACAATTTACAATCACCAATTAACCTCAGCATGTTTCTGGACTGTGGGAGGAAGCCGGAGAACCCGGAGAGAACCCACGCTGCACGGGGAGAACATGGAGACTCCACGCAGGAAGATCCCGGGTGTCCTCACCGGGACGCCAACCACCGACCTTCTAGCTGTGAGGCCACGGTGCTAACCACTGAGCCACCTGCAGCCCTCAAACACATGTATATGTTCATGTTTATCAGGAGAGATTGTGTATTCAGAGCTCTGGTGGATAAATCTAAGACAGACAGGCGTTGTGATGATGAGCGAACTCTGTAAGAAATGTTTTACTCAGAATTGCAAACCTTCTCTGGGTCTCCTTCCAATCTGCCGTTTTACTTTTTCTAATGTGACTTTAACCTGAAATCTTTTGGCTTTATGATGAAATAAGCTGTTTAACGGTGACACTGTTGATGTTAGAAAACAGACGATTCTGCTGCAGGTGAACTGATAATGAAGAGCCATGCTGAAGTGTTCTCCAGGACCAGACGGAGCTGATCCAGTCACAGAGAAAAGCTTCAAACGTGGCACCAGATATCCACTGTGGGGGAAAATCTGCATGAACTGCACTGAATGTAGCTTCAGCAGCAAACGTTATGTGAACCAGGACACAACCGGGCCTTCAGTCAGAATCACAGTCTGCAGCATTATGAATGTGGTCTACATGATTAAGTGCCCATGTCAAAAACCACATGTGGCTAAACTTCAATGAAACAATGACCAACAAAATCATAATACGGTAAAGACCCAGAGAGCCTCCCAGTAGCTGAGCTGCTCTAAAACACTGCTTCATTGTTTATGTGAGCGGCTGCATTACAAAGCACCACTGGAGGCCCTCGTATTCTGTTTCTAATTGGATTAAATTAGGGAAGAGATCAGAATTCATCCCCGTGACCGTGCTGGAGACCATCATTCTACTGGATCGTGGGTTTTCTTTAGATTTTGGGTATCTTCAAGTGATTAATGTGTACAGAACACATGGAATCAGCACACGGAGGCCGAGCTGTGTGTCAGTTCGATGTTGTGTTGCTCACCGAGGCAGGTGCGTCCGTCCACATGGAGGCGGGAGCCCGGCTGGCATTCGCAGTAGTAGGAGCCCCGCGTGTTCACACATCTGTGCTGGCAGCCTCCATTATGGACCTGGCACTCATCAATATCTGGAGGGGGAAAAGAGGGAGAGAAAAGCCAACAGAAGGAGAGAAATGGGGCAGAAATTAGTGTAATTTGACAAAATCCTCTCATTATGGGAAAACATTGGTGGTAAGAGCAGAGGCCTGATGAGCTGGGAGAGGAGCTCACTGCAGGTTTAGGACAAAGATGGAGATGACGGATGAGAAGGGAAAGTATTCTACAATCACACTGCAGCTCAAACAAACACAGCTCGCATGTGGAAACAACTACTGAACATTTAAAACCAAATTTAAATTCCTGCCCTTCTGGTCAGAGTGCCCCGGGTGAACAAACACATGGAAACCTAAATCCGAGGAAGCAGAACGTACACATTCCTCTCAGCCATGCGGGTTGTAAACAAACAAACGGATGATTCCTCATCTGGGAAAGTAGCAGCGAGTGAAACATGAGCGGACTGACCGTGTTCTGAAACGCTTCTTATTTAGAGGTCAGAGACTAATAAATGGTTTTGAGGGTTTCACAGCAGACCCCCTGTGAGACGAGAGCTGATTTGTGAAACCCGGTTCTGTTTGGACTCCTGCTAACAGCCCGTCCGCTGCGATCAGGAGGACGTGAAGTCAGAGCGGCTCCAGACTGGTGACAGGTCGCTCATTCGCTTCAAGATCAGTGAAACTATCACGGCGGAGTGACTGGAAATGCTGCTGACTGCCACTCGTGACGTGTTAAAAGGTGAGTGTGAATGTGTGTTGGCTGCTGGCTGATGCCTATAAAAGCAGCCAACACATCATAAAATACGATGAGTCAGAGCCAAGTTAAATATCTGGTTGAGAAATGTGCTGCTCAGAACACTTCTGGCTCCAGGCGGCTGTTCACAGAAACTATTTCAAGAATTCACCAGAACCACTGTGAAGAGTTCTATTAACCAGCTGATTAACATCATTTACTAAAGGCAAATATTATTTTTATTAGGTTTTCTGTTTTGGTTTGTGCAGCACCAGCTCTTGGAGCGCTGAGCGTCTCGCCACAGACCACACATCACGTCTGAGGGCGCCGCGCTGTAAACAAGGAATTAAATGCTTCACTATAAATCACTACAAACAAAGACTATAAATAAGTTCAGCATTCATCAGAGTGCAGCCTCCACTCCCTTCCCCTGAAAAAACAAACAGACAGCCGGGCCTCCTAATGGGGAAGATCACTCTGACATGAACGCCTGTATGCAGATGATCTGGATCTGGTTCTGTAGAGCTCAGATGTGGCTGTCTGAGTAAACACGTTTAAATCAGCCAGTCGTGTGAATGTGAGCCTAATGTTGTCCATCTATGTGTGTGCATCCTGTGACAAAAGCACAAACAGTTACGCTGCATCCTGCTTCTTCTGAGATGTAAGCTAGGACGCACATTCATCGATGCTGCAACGTCAGCGTCACCTCTAAGTAGATTATAGAGGTTCCCTCCCCTCTGTCCAAGAGCTTCTCCAGAACTTCTCCAGAGCCGCTGCACCCTCTCCATGACCCATCTGAACTGCTGTCATCAGCCAAACGTTCCTGGAGCGTTAGAGGAAGAACCTCCAGCTTCATGCCTCCAGCTGTCAGAACGCTGAGCTGCTGATCCAGAGATGCAAACACTTGTTTATTTAAATTGCTTTAAGTTATTGGATCCTGCAGAAACGCTCCCATCCTGCCTGTCCTGCTGTGGATGGACAGCACCATGACAATAAACTGGACTGGATTTGATTTGATTTATAGATGCAGAGCGAGATTAGGAAAAAGGTCACTCTTTCTGTGTCTCCTTCCAAACGTTGGTCTAATATCTACTCTTTGCTCTGTTCTGGTTTCTACCAACTCTTGATGGAAATATGTGGTTCTGTAGCTCCTGAACGTCCCACTGCGTAGAGGGTTGGGGAGTCTGGACAGTTTTATTCAACTAAAACAGCCACTTGATTGGCTGGAGATGAAGACTGATGGCCAGGAAACCACAACAATGAGCTGATCAAAGCTCCACAGAGCTGAGAGGAGCAGCAGCCGTTGGTTATAGAGCTCATGATAAAACACTTTCATTGACTTCACTGTGTGAACATGTTGATTATGGCAGCTGAGGTGGGATTTCTGTGGCCTGTGGAGAGCTGTGAGCATGAATCTGTTTGTAATAGAGAGAAGGTTTGGCCTCTGTCCTGCTAATGCCACGCTGTGTGGGACGGAGGCAGCTGGACGATGAGCCTCACACGGCTGCACAGCACTGTGTTCATGACCTGCACCTGGATCTGTCCTCCTGAAGCTGCAGGAGATGATGGAGGACAAGCAGTGAATGATGAGATCTTAGTGGTTCTGATGATGCGTTGGCGCACTGCGCTGCACCTCAGAGTAAAAACACAGGCAGGATCAGGATCAGGATCAGGTCGGAGATGCAGGATACGAGCCTAACGGGACTGAAACCTACTTGCTTAATGGTTCCTGTAAAACGTGCCCAAGAAGCTGAGTTATAGAAATATCCTCCGTCTGAACCGATCTACGCCCAGTAATATCCCACAGCATCTTCAAATATAGTGCTTGGAGCAGAAACCAGCTTCTAAACTTTCCTCTTCTTGGCCTCCCTGCTGCCAAACTTCAGCTTCACTTCATCCAGGAGCGCTGGCAGCAGCCCTCCGCTAGTTTTTCCGTCGATGCTGCACGCTGTCCTTTGGTTGGTTTCTCATGAAATGTGACCAGCGCTGTGGAGCTGCGGACGCCGACTGCAGCCTCACCGTCGAGCCTCCAGCCTGGTTTCCAGAACATGATCCTCTGCGAGCTCCAGCCAAAGCCTCAGCACCGGCTGGCTTTGGCGGAGGGTGATTAATTCTGCGCCCGTAGCCACCTACAGCACGGAGTCGTCTTCATGGAAAACTGTTGGGCCCGTTTATGTGAGGTGATGTGTTTACTGTGCACAGCAGATAAATGATTTCTGAGCAGTCTTGACTTCTATCCAAGGATCTGAGTAAGGCAGCAGACGGAGGGATTATCAGCTACATGGCAGTAAGAGAAGTAAGACATGTTTCCTCGTGTGCGTTTATCCCTGAACGCTGCAGTCACGCCAAACATGAAAAGAAATGTTCAGTCATAATAACGCTGACATAATCTGTGTGAGAGTGTCTGGTACCGAAGCCCTGTTTGTTTTGGCATCAGAGAGCGTCTCATGATTTACACTTCATGTTTTCATGTGCACTAATCTGTGCTGATAGAAGGAATCCTCCTCTGATCAGAGAGCGGGTTAGCGGGCCAGAGCCACACACTTTATCAGCACCACTGATGGACCACCGCTTCTGTACATTGGTCCAGAGAAGAACCCAAACACAACGCTCAAAAGAGGAAATTACATGTTGAAAGTTTCTGAAAAATATTAGTTTGTCATATAACGACATCACAGTGTGACATTTTAACAGCTAAACTGTTGTCATCGGCTGTGAAGTTGTCACTTACCTGTGGCCAGGTAGCCCAGGTTGTAGCCGTGGTATCCATGGTAACAGTGTGGCCTATAGCAAACCCTTCTGTAGTAACTGTGTGGGTAGTTTGCAGCAGAAGTCAGACATGCCATCAGCTCAATGACCACCAGAAACAACACCCAGCGTTCTGAAGACAAAGCCATGGCTGCAGAACGACGCATCCCAAAATGTTAAAATGTCCACTGATCTTCTGCTAGAAGTGAAACATCTCTGTGAGGACATTAACTCTGACCTTCAGCCGTGAATGAGCAGCTCCTCTGTGCTGCCTCCTGGTCTGATAAAACATGGTGACTACTTCTTATTCAGGCTGCCTCCCTCCCTCCATCTCCCTCATGTTCCACCCTCCCATCGACCCGAGTCCATCACATCTAGATCCTCCTCTCTCTCTCTCTCTAACCCCCAGCCCGAAGCCTCTCTCACTCTGAAGGTTTAAACACAGATAAATAATTCTGCATCTGACCACTGACAGTGACTGATTTCTTTCCCCCAGTGATTTACTCCGTGCTGCTACCGGCCTACTGTATTCTACTGTTTCATCAAAGAACAATCTGTGATCAAAAGTGAGGATTTATGACGGCACATAACTCAGGAGCTTTTTGTTGTTTTTTTTACAGACCAAGAATGCGAACAGACTAAAGGATGTGCCGTCTGTATTTTTTCTTTTGATACGGACGTGTTTTAAAAAAACTTCCACCAAAGGAATGCTGCGTTTGATAAGTGCCAGAAGTCAAATTCAGCATTTTTAATCCAAACATCTGAGAAAGGAATGAGCCGTACAGTGAAATCGTCTATTCAGGAGCTGAGTGCAGAACTCTCTCATCTGCTGCCAGCACATACAGACAAACAGCAGCACGACTACAGCGGCTCACACAGAGCAGAACCTGGTCCGGCTCAGCATCCCGTCACCGATCTGGACAGAAACGACCCGCAGAGTCTCCTGCAGGATGCAAGCTTCACCTGCATGACTGTTCCCTTTAACACCTAATGCATCGGTAACACACACCTGTACAGTCCTCTGAGAGGTACAGAGCAGCAGGAACTGATGTGAAGCGTCTTTGTGTCACCACGTATTCACACATTAAACACCTTTTGTGCACTGATAGCAGCAGGTATGAAGACAAGCAGCCTGCTGTAGTGAGGGAGACAGAAAACAGGCTCAGTGCCACGACTGTAAAATAAGTCACCAGAGAAGAAGAGCTATGGATGAAAGACCAGAGGAGTCTAGCAACACGATGCTCTCCTTTAAAAACAATCCTTAGAGCCCTGCTCTCGGGGTTAACAAGGGCATCCGGTACCTGTTGGTTCTGAGAGACGTGACTCATTATTACGACAGGTGCCAGGTCCTGGCAGAGCTCTGCTCCCACCTTCACGCCTGCAGTGGTCTGAACTGTGAAGTAGCTTAAAGTTCATGACATGACGGCGGACATGTTGCTGTTGGCCTCCTCCAGTGGGATCAGCGCCACTGGTATCAGTGCTGCTCCAGAGAAAAGGGAATTACATCAGGAGCCGAGAGACAAAGTCTGCTCAGGGGACTACACTGCACAATCTT